GGGCCCTCCCTCCCTCACCACGGCCACTGCATTGGAGGACAGCAGCTCCTGGGGAGACATGGCAGTGAAGTAGGCGACGTTGGTGAAGGTGTACACGAAGGTCACCAGTGGGATGGAGATAAAGATGGCACGAGGTAGGTTTCTGGGAATGGTGAACGCAGCGTGTCAGTATCATGCTCTGATTTGCAGGGGGTCCAGGGATGGGGGCGCAGCATGGATGCCCGAGGGACACAGACACTGCTTTCTGCCTCTCAGAACCTCAGATGCAGGTGCAGACACCAGATTGTAGCCCAAGGGGCAAAATCTAATTGATGGCTTTTCTTTCTTTTTTTTTTTTTTTTGGTCGGTCATGGGGCCTGAACTCCGGGCCTGGGCACTGTCCCTCAGCTCTTCAGCTCAAGGCGAGCGCTCTACCACCTGAGCCACAGCACCACGTCCAGTGTACTGGTGGCTAATAGGAGATAAGAGTTTCACAGAGTCTCCTGCCCGGGCTGGCTTTGAACTGAGATCCTCAGATCTCAGCCTCCTGAGTAGCTAGGATGACAGGCGTCAGCCACCGGCACCCAGCCTCTTCCTGGATGTCCTACTCACTTTCGAGGATCAACCAACTCCTCAGTGACATAGTTGAGAAAATTCCAGCCACTGAAAGCGAAGGAGCCCTGGAGGAAGGCCAGGGCCAGGTGCCCCACGGAAGGTGTCATCCAGAAGGCAAAGGCGTGGCTGGGCCTCAGTTCCTCAAAATGACCTGGGAGGATGAAGGGGGAGGGGGGAGAGGAGTCCAGAAGTTAGAGGTCAGCTCAGTCTCCCACACTCAGCCCTTGCCCACACTGCCTCCTGGCCCTACCTTGGAAGATCTGGACGAAGCCAACACTAATAATGAGTGACAGGGCCAGCAGCTTGCCTCCTGTGAAAATGTCTTGGATTCGAGTGGCCCAGCGCACGCTGGAGCTGTTCACCCAGGTCAGGAGCACTGGGGAGGAAAATGGGGGGGCAGGGGGAGGACTCTGAAGTGGGGGACCCAATGGTGAATCCCAGTCTTTTTGTGTGTATGTGTGCTGGTCCTAGGGCTTGAACTCTGAGCTTGGGTGCTGTGCTTAAGGCTAGCACTCTACCACTTAAGCCACAGTGCCACTCCTGGCTTTTTCTGAATGGTTTATTGGAGATAAGGGTTTCATGGATTTTTCTGACCAGTCTGGCTTTGAACTACGATCCTCAGATCTCAGCCTCCTGAGTAGCTAGGATTACAGCTGTGAGCCACAAGCACCCAACTGGTAGCTGGTGAACACACACACTGCTGTCCCCACACCCTGTGGCATTCGGCATCATGGACAGGATCCTTGGCGACTTAGGGGACAGAGGCCCAGCTGGGAGCAGCATGCACTTACTCAGGCAGGCCATGGAGAGCATGCGGGAGGCCGTGGCAGGGGGGATACAGTTGGGGAATACAGGCTGCAACACATAGTTGGAAAACGTCATAGAGATGACAGCCAGGCTGGTAGGGTACATGATGAGGACAGCGCTCCAGAGCAGCAGGAATCTGCAAGGAAAGAAGAGTCACAATGGCAGTGGCTGGCTTTGTTGTCCTAGGCCTGGGAGCCGGGCTGTACTGAGATCAGCAGCCAAGGGCTGGCAGGACTGGCAGAGTTCCAGAAGGCAGAGTTGAGATCCTGGACAGGTTTGGGGAAAGACTGGGACCCAAATATCTTTTCCGTGTGTGTGTGTGTGTGTGTGTGTGTGTGTGTGTGTGTGGTGTGTGTGTGTGTGTGTGTGTGTGTATCTGTCCTGGGGCTTGAACTCAGGGCCTTGGCACTATCCCAGAGCTTTGTGTTCAAGACTAGCACTCTACTATTTGAGCTACAACTCTACTCTGGCTGGTTTTCTTTCTCTCTCTCTTTCTCTCCTTTCCTTTCCTTTCCTTCCTTTCCTTCCTTCCTTCCTTCCTTCCTTCCTTCCTTCCTTCCTTCCTTCCTTCCTTCCTTCCTTTTCCTTTCTCTTTCTTTCTTTCTTTCTTGCTTGCTTGCTTGCTAGCTTGCTTGCTCGCTCACTTGCTCGCTCACTCGCTTGCTTGCTTGCTTGCTTGCTTTCTTGGTTTACTGGAGGTAAGAGTCTCACAGACTTTCCTGCCCAGGCTGACTTCAAACTGCCATCCTCAGATTTCAGACTCCTGAGCAGCTAGGATTAGCCAGCACCTGGCTAAGGGACAGATCTTTTTTGGAGAGTGGAGCTGAGGGATCTCTAAAGGAGACCGGTGAGACTGGGAATGTGGCTTAATGGCACAATGCTTGCCTACCATGCATGAAGCCCTGGGTTCAAAGTCCTCAGTACCACATAAACAGAAAAAGCTGGAAATGGCACTGTGGCTTAAGTGGTAGAGTCAAAGAAGCTCAGGGACAGTGCCCAGACGCAAGGCTGGAAAAAAAAAAAAAGAAAAGGAGACCAAAGCCAGGTACCGATGGCTCACATCTGTAATCCTAGCTACTCAGGAAGCTAAGATCTGGGACACTCTATCTCCAATTAACCCGCAATATGCTGTATGGGAGGCATGGTTCAAGTGGTAGAGCACCAGGCTTGACTGAAAAACTAAGGGAGCATACTCTGGCCCTGAGTTGAACCCCCACTCCACCCCAGTACTGGCACAAATAAATAAAATAAAAATGAAAGTAGATAGAGATGGCCAGGTGTCAGGAACTCCCATAACTCAGCCTGTCACTCTCACTACTCAGGATGCTGAGACCTGAAGAATAATCACAGTTCAATGCCAGAAAAGTCTTGAGAGGCTCTACCTTTAGTTAGCCAGCCAAATGCTGGACTGGAGTTGTGGTCTAAGTGGTAGAGCACCAGCCATGAGCCAGACCAAGGGCAAGGCCCCCGAGTTTAAACCCCTGAGCTGACACCAGGGTGGGGGAGGGTGAAGAGAGAAGGGGGGAGGGAGAGATATCAGGGGGCCAGGGACAGTCATGTCACCCACTCCACCACTCCACCCCCTTTTCCCCTTGTCTCCAAAACTTCCCAGTGACATGGGAAGCAGAAGAGGAAAGTGGGGTCCGCGGCTCATCAGGACCCCGCACTCACCCGGCTAAGCCCCCGAAGATCTCAGTGACATAGGCATAGTCCCCTCCAGACTTGGGGATGGCGACCCCCAGCTCTGCATAGCAGAGGGACCCCAGCGCTGTCACACCTCCTCCCAGGACCCAGACGAAGAGCGCCAGACCCACAGAGCCCGAGTGCTCCAGGACCCCCTTGGGGGAGATGAAGATACCCGAGCCAATGATGTTTCCTGTGGAGAGAGATGGGAGATGTCAGGCCCGGCCTCCTGGGGCTGGCAGCGGGGGGGG